AAGGAGGAAAGGGAATTTTTTAGGTTGATAACGCAAACTGTCTTTTGGACTTTCATCTTCTAACATCATGTAGGGCTATAGGTAAACGTGAGTGAGTTCATTATGGGCTCCGGGTAGCCTAGGCTATCATTTTATTGGCCTAATCTGTTATTACATATATGAGCCCAATAGTTAATGCTATCGTACACTAGTGGAATTCTTTGTTTCGGATCAATGAACTTTACTATCTACCTGCTTCCTTCAATAGCTCCGTAAGAATCTAATGATTTTCTTGTACAACCGGATATATCAAATGAATAATTGAGAATCTAAGAAAAAAAATGTTACTAATGATTTCTTTGTACAGTTAGATATATTCTAAGTTTTGGTACTAAAAATGCTCTATAGTATTTATCTGTAATAGAGCCAAGAGGTATAAATTTATAGAAAAGAGATAAAAATAAACTATGAAACTAATCCCTTAATTTCGGGAGACTTGAGAATCAAGGGATGTTTTTATCCTAAAATAATTTACAGTCTATCAGATCCGATTTTATCAAATCCATTAAAATCTGACAAATCCGATCCGATCACAATTGATCATAATCGAATATTCAAAAATCAACACTACCCTTCAAGTTGGCATGTAAAACTCTGTCATGCCTAACTTGTTATCATGAAATTCAAAATCTGTTTTAAATACTTTTTCTTTTTCCGGCCTTTAAACCCCAGATTCTGACGATTGTTTCCTTTGTTCAGTACGAGAAAACCTTCCTCCCTTCCTATATACTATTTTCACCCACTGTGAATACTGTTATTCCAACTATTGAGGCTTTTTCCGGCCAGATTTTTCGGGACAGCCGCATTTAGAATATGATGGATTGTACAGAGAGAAGCTCTTTTTTCTCTCTAGAATCTAGAAAACTGAAAAACATGTCTTTTATTAAAGCTGTCTCTTGGCCAGCCCTAGAACTTGGGAGAAGATGCCATCGAAAGCTCGACGCAGGACAGGAGCCGCACTTCTCGCTGTCCGAGCAGCACACTCTCAGGCGCAAGGGTTTCTTGGAATCTAGTCTCATTGGGTCTTTCTCCAAATGGGTTGGTTCTCCAGAGGCTGTTAGGAACTGGCAGCAGAGGCATGGAACGTCAAGGACGGGCTGAAAATATCGCAATTGGGGGACACTCAATATCTCTTTCGTTTTGTTGACAATTCTCAAGTTTCAAAAATTCTTGTCAGAGGAAACACGTGGTTTGATGGGAACTTAAATCTAGACAGATGGGTGGAGCATGATGGGTGTCTTGACCCTCGCTTCACTGGCGAAATATTGGTGGTCAACATGGTGGGTCTCCCGGTACATCTTTGGTGTCTTGACCTATTCAAGAAGAT